TACAGTATCCGAGTAGCGTCATTCATTTGACTGAGTGGAAAAAAATAACATTTCTGTGTACGTTTTGATTCACCATCTAGGATTAGTTTTAACTGTAATCTTGTACTGTACAAAAGATTGTGAATACGGGTTCTCTTAAACTTCAGGAACTGGAAACTCATGTTAATTAACCACTCATTACTAACTGGTTTCATGTCATTCAGACTTTAGTACTAATCAAATCCTGTCTTTCAACTCCGATGTGTGACCATTGGCTTAAGTGGTTCAACATTGCGATTCATTTTTTTTGAAGTGGTTGGAAGAAATCGGGTAAACATACTAGACTTAACTGTCATGCTAGTTGTGACTTACAGTCCACTGTCTTGAAAGTTTGTTCTTCATAAATGATCCAAACCCATGTCAAACAGTTTCATGGTTAGTGAATCTCACATGAAGCAATTATGCATCCAGGTCTATATATAAACCTTATTAAGGATTGGATAGTGGCTAGCAGTGGAATCCAGGACGCGCGTTTCGTCCTGTTTGGGACTCGTCAGCTGGATGTACCTGCATCTCAGAGTTGATGTTCACTCTGGGACTCGAACCCAGTACCGTTCGCTTCAAACGCTATCGCGTTATCCACTTAGCTACTGAGTCCTGATAGCCACTTGCTTGTGCAATGGGTTGAAGTTGAATTCACTTGATATTGTTTTACTTGAATCTTCCCATTGATGTTTTTTTGGACTGAAATTGATCAGGATTGTTATATAGCATGAAATCTGGACTTAAGACTTTTTACAGACAACTTTCATTTAAATTGTTAAGTTACTTTATTATTCAGTACGGTATTGTGGAGGTCTTTAAGTTTTTGATTTAGATCATGAATCGACCTTCGGTCTCACGCACGATCGCTTAATCTGTAGACCACTAATCCGTTTAACTTCAACCACTACACAAAGTTGCGCGACTATCTTCCATTGTACTGAGGTAGATACCTATTTCTACTTAACGTGGATTAGCTCCACTGGTCACAGTTTCTCACATTGCTTCCAGGTTTTCAAGGGTAGTCTAACATCGATCGATTCATGATCTTAATTAAAAATAATCTTAAACAAGTAGATAACATCTTGTATCTAAATAATAAACAAGTTTTCAAATATCTAATAGAAAGCTAAGATCTGTAATTTGATCTTTATTGGTGTTATGATTGAACACATCTGATTATTTATTAATTAGAATGAAATATTTGTCTAGTATTCCTTGCTCTTAAATAGTGTTATATCTAGAGCGAGTGGATAAGGCAATGGATTACTAATCCATTGGGGTTTCTCTGCGTGAGTTCGAATCCCATCATCGTCGCCAGGTGTTATATCTAAAACTTAGATTCTTAATACATCGCGTATAACTGGAGCACTGGAACACTAGAACCCTCCAAGTCGCAAATGAGAAGACAGAAGACGAATGAGAAAAAATGTTATTCCAAACAGTGTTAAGTTTAATACAAAACTCTCAGGTATTTCAGCTTTTAATAAAAGCGAAATTATCATTATGGTCAACCAATCCCCATACAGGAGGTTATAGCATCTATCCAATAGGTAAGCTACACATCGATATTCTGGAATGTTCATCTAGAAGATGATTAGATGGAATATCTTCGGCTCTTTTCGAGCTTCATAGAAATTCCTCAAATTCACCCATGGGTCGTCCTCACATTATATAAACCATAAGATATACGAAACTATTAGCAGCTTTTTCCAATTAATGAAATTTACTCTATTACTGGGTAAAATGATATTGTACTTTGATGATATATCTTGAGTCGAACAATCTGATGTTTGTTTATTTGAAAGGTGACTATGTATTTAAGGCATTTATTGTTCATCTGATCGATTAAACTTTTATATTCCACACATTTGATTTGGGTAGTAGGATAATATCTACAGCCCTCGTATAAACATTGTTACTTTAAACAAGGTATTGAAACCTGTGAATGAGTTTCATTTAATGATTTGATTATAGTAACTAATCACGTGAAGCTACATAAAGAAATTCGGTGACGTAAAATAAATTGGATATTTTCAATGTACTTTGTTAAGTTCACTTGATGTTGTTTACTTAAATCTTCCCATTGATGTTTAAGACTGCAATCGATCAGTCTCGTTGACATATGTGCATCCTGTGCGGACGGCCTCGATATTGCCTGAAGTCACAAGCTTTATAAGCAAAGATGGATAGTGGCTAACTGGATAACGTGATGGCAGTTGAAGCGAGTGATGCTGGGTTCGAGTCCCGGAGTGAACATCAACAAGTCTGAGATACAGGTACACCCAGCTGACGAGTCCCAAATAGGACAAACGCGCATCCTGGATTCCACTGCTAGCCACCATCCATCCAACTCTGCTCATAGTACTTGTGAATTAAGGCAATATCGAAGCAATCCACACAAGGATTTACTAATGCCTATAAGAGACTGATCATTTACAGACCTAAACACCAATAAGAAGATTCATACAAACAATATTAAACAACAAATTGTCTTTGCTTATATTTCATTAAGTGTTTTTACCATTTTGTATCTGGAATTCAACGTCGAACAGACGTTTTTCGACAGAAATATTACGAATATTTAGGACATTTTACATTGATAGACAATAGAAAAATAACATTGTAACATAATGAACGCTAATGCTACATTTAGACCACTAAAATTGAAAATCAATTTCAACATTTACACTAGATCATACTTTACAATTGATTGATCACTGAGTGGTGATCAGTGCCATGTGTGTCGAGCCCTTTTTAGTGTAAACCGAATCGCAGCGACCAAGTTGCAATGTGGCCACTAATCTAGGTGACTCGACATTGCGTGCCACAATGCAACTTTGTCGATAAGATTCTATCTGACACTGATCACTACCCAGTGATCAATCAATTGTAAATGCATCTCAGTCGTACAAGAGGTCATTAAGGGTAACGTCTCTGACTGTGAAGCTGGGTGACACGTGATCAAATCCGTTAGGGAGTATCAGTACCCTCGAGACTACAGGTACACTTTGCTGACGAGGGCCAAATAGCACGAAGCGTAGGTCCAGGGTTTAATAGCTTGGGTCAAATTGGTGGCTTAATTTCAAACGAAAAACTAGGTGAAAATTTTCGACTAAATGTCTTAGACCTCAAAAAATGTTGCCAGCACTAAGATGATAAATATCGAAGCGGAATTGGATGGTTTTGAATACATTCCATGAGAATCAAGTGTTATACTCTATGTCATTTATAAAATAGAATCTTCACAGATCGACGTATACTGCGAATATGTTGAAGCCAGTTATATATGTTAGTGAATTTCAGGCTGCGGTTTAGAAGGGACTTTGTCATGTCAAGGTTTAAATTTCTTTTACTTCATCATGTGTTATTAGATTCATAGCTGCTTATTGCTCTGGAGTCCTAAACTCAAACAAACACATATTCAATACTCACTGATTTGTTATACTTCTCCAAATGTTACCATTCTCAGACGAATTGAATTAGTTTGAACAAGAAGCTGTTGTTTATAACGTTTCTGTATTAGTTCTACTGATTTACATGAAATTAGGTTATTCTCTTCCTTACTCTGCTTAATCATTAAGCAGACGTATATTTAATGTTTCCCCAGTCATTAGCACTGATTGGATTGTAAAAATAAATTTGTCATATTCAAGTCCGATAAGATGCATCAGTTCTTCAAGAATAAAGTTATCTGGTGCTAACGGATGTCAACTAACGCGAAGAATAGGTCTTGGATTTTCACTCAGTCTAGTATTTCCATCTTTATTTAGTACGTTGGAACTAGTTATGTAATAACAAAAATGTATTTGAGCTGAAAATAATTTGTCCATTGAATTGCATCTTAATAAAATTTGTCTTTGTAATTGTACTTGTCTGTTTATCTTTCCATCTGTCTGTGTATCTATCGTTGCCAGACAAAGATTGAAAATGGTTTAGCCATTTTTTTCCATAAAGATTTATTCATCTTTGTTACTAAGGGGACATTCAATATAAAAAAGGTAACAGAATTAATATCAAATTAGTTATGTAACATAAATAAAATTCATAGAATTAGAATTCTAAATAAGCCAGTAGTAACCCAGTAGATCATTTAAATTGATTACTAAGTAAATATTAACTGACTATCTGTATCAAATGATGTAAAATAGGAGAAGGGTTTTGTGGATATTATAGTAATTTAATAGTTAAATTCATAAGTCAATTAAAGCTAAACCATGATGGAAAATAGGGAGGCGCTGGACGGCCATTTCGTCCTAGTATGGGACTCCTCCCGCGGGGCGAGAGGATATATTATATATATGTATATATTATAAAAATGGAAATGATATATACATGCTTTTTAAGCAAAGATGGATAATGGCTAGTAGTGGAATTTCGGAAACTCGTTTCGTTCTACTTGGGACTCATCAGTTAGATGTACCTGCATCCCAAACTTGTTGATGTTCACTCTGAATCTCAAGCCCAGTACCGTTCGCTTCAAATACCACCGCGTTATCCACTTGGCTATTGAGTCTCGATGACCACTTGTTTGTACACTGAAGTGAAGCATATTTCACTTGAATCTTCCCATTGTTGATATAGGCTAGCAGTAGAATCCAAGTTGTACATTTCGTCCTATTTAAGACTCATCAGCCGGATGTACCTACACCTTACAGTTGATGATATATTTATATATAACTTCTAAAATAAACATTTTTTTATTAATATCAGATGGGTTTTGTGGATATTATAGTAATTTTAATGGTTAAGATCATGAGTCAGTTGAAGCTAGACCACCATGGAAAACCCGTAAGTCCTGGATTCGAATCTCGCAGGGGGCGAGGTCGTGGATACACACTGCTGAGGAGTCCCACAATGGGACGAAATGGTCGTCCAGTGCTTCCAGGTTTCCCATGGTTGTCTAGCTTCAATTGACTCATGATCTCAACTATTGAAATTTCTTTATTAATTTATATTATTTTCTTATTTTAATCTAGTGATGAACATTTAATAGAAATTGATTCAAATTCAAAATGTATTAAATCAAATGAATCCATTGCAAATCATAATCATTCTATTCTATCACAACAATTAACCTTATTACATCATAATCAATTATCGAATTCATTGAATAATAATAATAATAATAATAATAATAATAACAGTTTACCAATTAAATTATCCAATAATTTAGATCTAAATCAATCCAATGAAAAACACCACCATCACAATCACCACCACTACCAACAACAACAACAACCATCATTACCATTTACTGTATGGGTAAGTTCTCTCATTGATCCTTATTGATTTTTCAACTAACATGGCAACATACTTTTGTAAATTAAAAAAAATTTATTGTACTTTTTTTATTTGTGGAATATGAGGACATTAACACCGTTGGATGCCGGCTCAGTGGTCTAATGGTTAAGTGCTTGCGCGCGAAGCCAGTAGGTCCTGGGTTCGAGCCCCGCGTGGTGCGGGATCGTGGATGCGCACTGCTGAGGAGTCCCATACTAGGACGAAACGGCCGTCCAGTGCTTCCAGGTTTTCAATGGTGGTCTAGCTTCAACTGACTCATGATTTCAATCTGTGAAAATTTCTAAAAATCTCCACAAACCCTTTCTGATAATTAAAACATAAACATAAAACTTTATAGGCAAGAATGGATAGTGGTTAGCAGTGAAATCCAATTTGACGTGCGTTTCGTCCCATTTGAGGCTCGTCAGCTGTTCATAAGACTTGTGATTTAAGACTATATCGAGGCAATCCGTACAGGATACACATATACCAATGAGAGACCGATCAATTCCAGTCGTAAATAAAAATGGAAAGATACAAGTAAGCGACATCAAGTGAATTTATAGTGGTAAGACTTTACTAAACAGGAATAACAACATTCATTTCGTGCAAAAGATCGTGGATACGCACATCTAAAGTGTCTTATTCAAGGATGAAATGTATATTTAGTGCTTCCACGTTTTCACTAGTGACCTAATATTGATCGTTTCATGATCCCAATAAAGTCATTCGTAGAATAATACAATTTGATATTATTTCATAAACTCTCTTCAACTTTAAAACAATATACAGTTACTAAATATAACATCATTACAAGGTGAAAATAAACCTTTGTTAATGGGAATAAAATTGAGAAAACAATATAGTCAGTAGCCTAGGTGACTCAATATATTACTTGTTCGTAATCATTAAATGATCAACCCAAGTAAATAATAAAAATTACAATTACATACTGATTTCTGTATTATAGTAATTGAAATATATTCAATATGAAGTGAACGAGAACACAGGCGGAGACAATCGAATGTAAAATCTAAGAACCATACAGTAAAAAAAATACTTCATTTGCAAAATGTCAATCAATTGTCTCAAACTTTATTGTTCTTTCGTTTCCACACCAATCATTCTTCATTCTCATTCTCTTTGCTTTGATCTTTTTAACCTTGAACTTCCAGGCATTTCACTTTCAATAAACGACATATACTACTTATATCTGTTGACATCAGTAGCATACACCACTAAAGCATTTGACTAGCAAAGTAAAAAAAACAGCTAAGCTATTGGTACATGCATTTAAAATGGCGTAATAAACAAGCTTTTCAAATGAAAATGAATATTCTAACATTGACCATCAGGGCTAAAAAGTTTAACTTTTAAAGTTGTTCAACATTTACACCGAAGAAAAATACTTACCCCATACAAGAACTATCAACATCATAGTTTTCTTATACATTAAAATTATTCATTGTGACAAGGAAGAAAATAATCTGATACATTTTATAATAATGAAACAGTAGGCATGTCAGTATATGATCATATGTGTGTATGTTTATTAAGCGTTTATCGATTCACTTGGTAATAGTGTTTACTTGTATCTTCCCATTGTTGTTGAAGACCGCAATGGATCAATCTCTTGTTGGCATATATGCATCCTGGACGGATTGCCTGGATATTACCTTAAGTTACAAGCATGATAGGCAAAAATAGATAGTGGCTAACGATGGAATCCAAGACGTGCGTTTCGTCCTATTTGAGACTAGTCAACTGGATGTACTTACATCTCAGACTTGTTGATGTTCACTCTTGGACTCGAACATGTAAACGATCAAAAGTTTTTACTGATATATGAATTACAATCACAATAAACAGAAATCTATTTAAATTAGTTAGACTGATTGAACTGGATCAAATATTTCCAATCGTAAATTATTTTACATGTTCAGATCATGTAAATGTATTAGAATTTTGGTTATTTCAATGTTTTTGCAATTTAGATGGTATACAATGCAAAACCTAAGATATAGGCTTCGTTATAATAAAAGTATGTAAATAGATATTCTGTGTATCTCTTTCGCAATATATCAAACTGCGGTATTAAATAACCATAGAATAATTTGTTTCCTTTACTAACTAATTTATATTGATGTAAGCTAAACCACCATCGGAAACCTGGAAGCATTGGATAGCCATTTCATCCTAGTATGGGACTCCTCAGCAGTGCACGTCCACTATCCCGCTTGTGGGATTTGAACCCAGGACCAGCGACCTCGTGTGCAAATGCTTAATCTCTAGACTACTAAGCCGGCATCCAATAATGTTAATGTCTAATTTCGATTGATCCATGATTTTACACAACCTTTTCATCTATTGTCTAATGGTTTTCAATAATGGTCTAGTTTATATCGACTCATGAATTCAACTAGTACAATTACTACAATCTTCACAAATCCCCATTCTGATCATAATATATTCATTGTTTAATTGCACACAAAATATTTGTCATACACAAACAATCCTTGTCTAATTATCACTTTGTATGACATACATAGAAACTTTTGGCAACTATAGAACTTAGATAAATTGGATAAATAGATGATAAGTTCGCAATTATTTCACCTTGGAATGTATTATTTCATAGTTAAACTAATCATCTTCCATTTGTATTCAATATACAATATGATGATTAGAGGTATACAATCAACATACCTAATCTGACAATAAGAGATAATCATGCGATAATTGAATATTCATACAGACAAACACATACACACAAAGGGTATGTATGTGTTCTTATTATCACTTTACAGTTGTACACATACCATGTCAATTTAAGTAGACAGTTACTGAGTCTTCTTTATGCAAATTTTCTTTTTACATTTCATATAAATGATGAATTATGTGAAATATTTTACTTTGAATACATCTGGTAATAGACTTTCTGGTTAGAGGGTTTTATTTAACAAGGTTGGGGTTGCTAATCCCATGCTTAATCCTCATTGTTTACCCGGGGTTAGAACCAGCGGTAGATCTACAAAAGCTACAGGCGGAGTTATCTGCTAAAAGAGGAAACAATGAATTCAACACTGTTTTTTTTCTATTTTGGTCAAGAATACCTGATACATAGTTTAAGATTTCAAGTTTTACAGACAGTTAACTGTGGATACATCCACTACAGGTTTTTCTCATAAATAAAATACTAACACATAAGAAAATTTACTTACTTTCTATGCCAATTGATTTGAACACATTCATGATGTGTAAGATATCCTAACGAACACGTAGGTATGGAATGATTAGTTGTTATAAGGTAATTCATCTAATTTGAGAGTCTTCTCAATGTGTTTACATTGCATGAAATGTACATTATACATCTAATATTTCGTTATCATTATGATGTTATGAAGATTATTAAGTTTCTGATTGAGATCAGGAACCGATTGATGTCAGATCACCATTGAAAATCTGAAAGAACTGGACGGTCGTTTCGTCCTAGTATGGGACTCCCCAGTGACAATAGGCATCCACAGCTCCGCTCGCGGAAATCGAACTCAGGAACCTCAGTATCGCACACCAACACTTAACCAATAGACCACTGATCCGGCCAGCATCCAACGGTGTTAATGTCTATCTCCAAACAATCCACCAAATTGAGCAACTGTCCACCATTATCTTCAGTAACTTACTATCTCACAACAGACCCGAGTGAACGCCACTGGTCATTGGCTCCTCACTAGAACTCCAGGAAATACTTCTTGAAACCAGTCATTAGTGAGCATATGATGATTATTATCAGAATGGGGATTTTTGTGGAGATTGTAGTAATTTAATAGTTGATTTCATGAGTCAATTAAAGCGAACAGGATTTTGGATGTGCGCTGCTGAGGAGTCCCACAATAGGACGAAAAGGCTGTCCAGTGCTTTCAGGTTTTCCATGGTGATCTAGCCTTAAATGACTCATGAACTCAAATATTATTATTCTACTGTCTAAAGTTTTTTATTTTCAGCGTATGCTATCACAATTCATTATTAGTAGTAAGACCTATTTTGTATAAGCTAATACACGATGCAAATGTTGATGTGGCTAATTTTGAGATATAATTCAGTAGTTCTATTGAGAATCAATAACCAGTGTATTTAAGCCAGGCTATATGTGAAGCATTTATCCATTAGTGATATTAGAATTCTAAATTAATTCAAGCTATAAATGTAAACCATGGGATACTGACTCAGCGGTATAAAGGTTAACTTGTCTCATAGAGCTCTGAAATTCCATGGTTCAGTCACTAGTGAAGTTAGAAATTTGCTCTGCTGAAATGCCACAAAGTAGGAAAACATGGACAGCCTATAGGTCTAAGTCAGCTTTGACTCTTTAGCAGTTTATATCAATGAATTATTATGCATACGTTTTTAAATGAATTTATTTAAGAGGGATATGCACACAAGCTATTATCATAGTAAGATATTTTGATGTGGTCATTTGGGAGCCGATTGATATAATTTCCATGCTGATTAAATCATATTAGAAAGGAATATTCCAATATATAACTTAACATAATGTACACTACAATGTGATGTTAAGCTATGTTAATCAGTAAGCTTGAACCTCTAAGATCACCAATATCATCCGGAATTCATATGACGGACTACAGTTCAAAGTCATACATGCAGGACAGCTGACAGATGCATTTCAACTAAGGACCACAGTCGGACAAGACTGCATACTCTATCCCTTCAAGAAGACCTCGACATCTGGGGGAAAGCACGGAATACTATCGACAGCTCAGAATCAATTAGAAGATTCGAACTTCGTTGATGACCTAGCCCTCCTATCGCATACGCACGAACAGATGCACATAAAGACATCCAGTGTAGCAACAGCCTCTTCATCAGTAGGCCTCAATATACACAAAGGGAAAACCAAAGTCCTCAAATACAACAAGGACAACACCAACCCAGTCATACTTGATGGAGAAGCTCTGGAAGATGTGGAATCCTTCACGTACCTGGGAAGCATCATCGATGAACAAGGAGGATCAGATGTAGACATAAAGGCGAGGACTGGCAAAGCAAAGGCCGTATTTCTAAAACTGAAGAACATATGGAACTCAAAATTGTCTTTCAATCAATATCAAAGTCATAATCTTCAATGCAAACATAAAGACAGTACTAATGTACGGAGCTGAAACTTGGAGAACTACTACAACAATCATTAGGAACGTACAAGTATTTATAAATAGATGTCTACACAAGATACTCAACATCCATTAGCTGGATACCATCAGCAACAGCCTACTGTGGGAGAGAACAAACCAGGTTCCAGCTGAAGAGGAAATTAGGAAAAGACGATGGAAATGGATAATAGATACATTGAGGAAATCATCAAACTGTATCACGAGGCAAAACCTAACTTAGAACCTGAGGGGAAAAGGAGATGTGGAAGACCGAAGAATACACTACGTCAAGAATCGGTAGCAGAGATGTTTAGGATGAATAGTAGGTGGAAAGAAGTTGAAAGTATTGCCCAGAACAGCGTTGGGTAGAGAATGCTGATGGGTAGCCTATTCTCCTTCACGAGGAGTAACAGGTGTAATTAACTAAGTAAGTAGGTAGTGTACTTCTAAACCTAGATTTCAAGATAATTAGCACTTACCAATTGGCCAAACATTAAATATATTAAACGAAAGGTTCCTATAATGAGATTTAAATCTAAGTCGAAAAGCAATACATGAAGATCTTGTTCATAACTGATTGAATATCTTTTAAACTTTGTAAATAACCAAGTCTAATGCCAGAAATTTTCAACAGTCATCAGCGTGAATTCATTAGGATAATACAATAAAAACTGAGAAACTTTTTTGATTGCATCATTTTCAACTGATTCCAAGTTATATAATATACTCTTGTGAGCCAAAGTAATTTTACATTGGTTTTCAAGAGAACCAGACACCATCGAGACTTTCACGTGACAACCCATACAGTACAGTTCAATCCCGTTTAACAGAACTACTCAGGATTAAAATTTGTAGCTCAAATAGTACGGCTGAATCCAGTTTCCATGAGAACGAGACATTATCCAGGCTTAAACTTTATAACTCAAGCAGTACAGCTCAATCTCGCTTCACAGAAGAACTAGACACCATATAAGCTTTAAAGCTACAATCTGAATGGTACAGCTCAATCCAGTGGTGCAACCACACAGATACTAAGCACTCTGATAGACTAACTGATTATGAAACATTATTTAACAAAATGAATGAAACAAACATTTCAGATTTACTCTATTCATACATCAATCAATATGTTTTTTTGGTGTGTCTCCTTTTTTCTTTTTTTCTCTCTCTTTTCTCCTTTTTTTCTCTTTTTTTGTTCCAACTATTAGTTCATCAAAGTTGCAAAGAAGTTTCTTCATTGGAAAAATACTTTCATTCATATTAATCTATTAAAACAATCTAATTATTCACATATTATAAATGATAACCCTATTGAAGACTATCAGAATACAATCCATTTGAATAGAATTGAAAATGATAATTTAAACAAAATAACAATTCAGAAAAAGCTAAATGATAAAGGAACTTTTGGATTAAATATGTATGTAATGATTAATTATTATTGATTTTTAATTTAATGTAAACTTTATAATGCAACTACATTTTAGATGGCCATTTTGTCTTAGTACGGGACTCTTCAGCAGTACGCATCCAAGATCTTGATCGCTTTAATTGACTCATGAAATCAACTTTTCTAATTACTACAATCTCCACAAAAATCCCCATTCTGATGATAATCATCATATGTTCACTAGTGACTGGTTTCAAGAGGTATTTCCTGGAGTTCTAATGAGAAGCCAATGACCAGTGGAGCTCACTCGGGTCTGTTGTGAGATAGTAAGTTACTGAAGATAATGGTGGACAGTGGCTCAATTTGGTGAATTGTTTGGAGATAGACATTAACACCGTTGGAATCCGGTCGGATCAGTGGTCTACAATTTAAGTGTCCAGTGCTTTCAGATTTTCCATAGTGACCTAGCTTTAATTGACTCATGAATTCAACTATTAAACTACTACAATCTCCACAAAAATCCCCTTCTGATTACTTTCATTCTATATATATCCAATAAAGGTCAAATTTAAGTAATTAGCACCCCTCCCCACCATATAAGTGTAGCTAGCATGTGAAGATTGATATAAAAGAGACATTTGTTCAAGTAGAAAAGAGACTTAGTTACTTAAATCAAAGTATCACTTTATGGTGAATCATCATTCTTATCGAAAACATGATTATTTTTTAACATAAATTTGTAGTTAAACCACATAAATAATGAATTAGTAACCTTTCAATGATAATGATGTAATGGATTCAACATCTCATTAATAAACTAAATTTAGATGCTTGAACTATTCCATCTCAACATTAAAGTCTAACTTTGATATGACGAAGAAAATTCACAGCTCAAATAGACATTTATTGGTAATAGTGAATTCCTTCATATTGATGATTTGACTATGAAGCTTTCGTTGTTATTCTAGATAATGTCATCGAGTAAGAGTCAGTACATTTGTTGGTTTACATATGTTAAGTTAGTACAATCAATCAAATTTCCTTATGACTGGTTATCATCACAAATTTTGTTATTGCCATGTGTTTTTTTGTTCCATCTTGCTGTCTTGTTTAGTTGACCGTTTAACAAGAGATTGATGAGTCTTTTCATTATGAATTGGGAGTTTGAATGTGACCCTGATAGAGAATCCAGTACTGTGTTCTACAAAGTATTTTCAATTCAGTAATTAAATTTGGAGACAGTTAATTGAACACAAATACGTTAGCAGTGATACAGTTATTAAAAATGTCAAAGCTCACAAAAATGTCGTGTGTGACCGACCCCAAGCAGTTAACCAGTGGGCACTGTAGTTATCCTCTCAGGTCACGAAGACCACCCCTAACAGAATTTTTTTTCAGGTACCTGTAGGAGAATCCTTCCATAGTGTGGGTGATTGGGAAGTGCTAACCGCCCTCATACCTCTAACAGCGCTCAAGGTCACTAATTTTCCCTCAAATAATCCTTGATAATAATACTTACTACCTACTTCAAAATCTAGTTTCATTTAACATTCTTAACCTTCATTTGATTATAAATAATTTTAAAAGAAAAAAAAACTTATTTGAATGATCATAACTATTAAGGAATAAGAAAAGATAGATAGTGGCTAGCAGTGGAATCTAGGACGCAGATTTCATCCCGTTTGAGACTCGTAAGCTTAATGTAACTGCATCCTAGATTCATTGTTCACTTTGGGACTCGAACGCAGTACCGTTCGCTTCAAACGCCTTCATGTTATCCACTCAACTACTGAGTCATGATAGCCACTCGTTTGTGCAATGAGGTGAAGTTTAATTCACTTGGTATTCTTTATTTGAATCTTCCCATTGTTGTTGGGTTACTTTCTTCTTTACTATTGATCATGAATCTTAAACTTGTATAACAAATGCTACAGTAAACCGAATTCTCTTTGACAGGGTTTCATCAATTCTCATGATTGTTAGCCATTGTTTACGTGCTATGATATCCAATGGCATGTTACAAATTATCATTGTTACTGGGGAAATTTTTCTTCTTTAAATCATTCTCTTATAGACTATTCATTTAGTAGAAATTAAACCGATATACAATGTTGATCAACAATACTACGGATATATCAATACATTTTTACGTTATATAGAATAATTAATAAATTATAATGTGAAAGTTAAGAACGGTGAAATTATAACTTATGAACGATCTTTGAGCGATACTAGACTGACCTTGAAACTATCCACCTAGTAACTAGAACCAAATGAGAGTTATAAGCCAGAGTATGAGGAATTAGAATGACAATTTACAGTTGATGGTTAAACGTTGAAAATTAGATTTAAAGTTTACATCACAAACTGATATCAGCTAAAATGCCAAAAGTCTATTTAACCAAATGGGTAAATGAATTTAGCGCCAAAATCCTAGACCTGGTATCTTAAATCTGATTGGTTTGTTCATAAATTATAGTTTCGCCGCTAAAACATCAAATTCGGTAAAACTTGATGATTATAGTCTTTTTATATTATTTATAACTTCCCTTTAATGATATAAATCTAATCAATTTATTGTTTAACTTAACATAGTTCTAGTTCTTTATTCAATATTACAATTAATGAAACGGCATATTATTGAATTAAAATAAACTTTTAAAGTAAAGCATAAACGATACATAATGAAATCTATGAATCATTCTAATTAAATTTCATATGATTGAGATAATGATAATAGTTGAATATATGAGTTGATTAAATCTAAATCATCATTGAAAAACCTGGAAGTATTGGATGGTCGTTTTGTCTTAGTATGCGACACTTCAGCTGTTCACATCCACGATCCTGTGCGCTGCTATTATCTAAAGCTTAGATTCTTGATATACCGCTAGAACCCTCAAAGTTTCAAATGAAAAGGCAGAAGACAAGTGAGATAGAATGTTACTCCAAACAATGTCAAGTATGATATAGAACTCTTAGGTATTTATAGTTTTTAGTAAAAATGAAATCATCATTATAGTCCTTCAATCCGCATACAAAGGGTCATTAGCATTTGTCCATTAGAGAAGCTACACGTAGGGATTCTGGAATATTCTTGCAAAATATGGTTAGATAGAATGTCTTCGGCTCTTTCTGAACTACTTAGAGCCTCCTCGAGTTAACCCGTGGGCCGTCCTCACACGCGAGAACGCCTAACCTCTAGATCATCAAGCGTCCAAGACGATAGGTCCTGTGTTCGAGTATAGTGTGCAGGATTGTGAATGCACACTGCTGAAGAGTCCAATACAAGGACGAATCAGCTGTCCAATGTTTTCAGGTTTTCCATGGTGGCCTAACTTTAATCGACTCAAGACTTCAGCTATTAAAATTACTACAATCTCCACAAAAACCCTCTTTCTTAATTATACTACTATTTGAAAACTCTTTGTTGATATTGCATAGTTTTCATTCATAAAATGAAATCAGTATGTAGAATAATTGAAAAATCTGTGTTTATATGAAGTGTAAAAAAACTTCTCTTAAAAAGCTTGTGACTTAAGGCTATATCGAGACAATTCGAACAGGATGCACATATGCCAACATGAGACAGATCAATTGCAGTCCTAAATAACAATGGGAAGATACAAGTAAAACGACAATAAGTGAATTTAAACTTCACCCCATTGCACAAACAGGTGGCTATCAGGACTCAGTAGCTATGTGAATAACACGATGCAGGTACATCCAGCTGACGAGTTTCAAATAGGACAATACACGCGTCTTGGATTCTACTACTAGCTACTATCTATCCATCTTTGCTTATAAAGCTTGTGATTTAAGGCGATATTGAGGCAATATGCACGAAGAACAATTACTTCTGTTTCATGTTTTTTTTAATCATTTTCACCCGGTGAAAAGCAAATTATAAAATCTCAAAACTTACTTTGAAAACATTCTGTCGTAAAGTTGATTTGTGTCTGGTAATAGAATCCACAACCAATTTCCGCTTTATTTGCAGCTTGTCAGATAAATATATACTTGTAATCGAATGTTGATATTCACAGCAAGACTTGAACCTAGTACCTTTCAATTCATAATTCATTACATTATTTACTGAGTTACTGAGTAGAGATAGCTAGTGACAAATTCTACTTCTTCCTTCTTTCTTTCTATTCATGACCGATCAACATATGAAAGTATTCCTTTTTGCAAAAAGAACTAAGGCATCTTACACATTAAATTTAATGGAGTTATATTTCCCACGCAGGCTGATATTAGTCATAGATTACGATTTATTATCACTACATATCTACTAATTGATGTTGGAGGTTGGACCATACAAATACAAGTCCTATAGAGAGCGGGATTCTCTAGATGGTTGTATAGATCAGGTTTTCTAGATAGTCAAATTGGTTATCTCAGTCATCCAATATAATCTTTAATATTAGGTTGATTTTCAGTAAATACCCTTTTATGCTGCGTTGAAATACTGTCATGAGCTTAAACATGTTTTTTTGTTATTAATCTATGTACTACTTATTTGATTTATTTTAATTTTAGACAACATATTAAACAAAAAGCTAATAGTTTAAAAGAACAAGGTAGAAAAGCTAAAGTCTATCATGGTTATCCTATTTGGACGGATACTAAAAGTGTTATACAACAATTTTCAAACAGAATATCATCAAATTCCACTACTCATTATCATTTATCACCATATAGACAATGTGATTCGCAAAGTGATTTATTTGATCCAATTTATTCAGCAATTCAATATCCTTTGAAAGATACATTACAATCAACACATTCATCATTATGGGATCATTCATCAGTGTCAGTTCATCAACCATATGCGAAAGATCGTCTTCTAGTTAGAAATATTTGGACAAGTCAGGTGTTATGATTGATTTTATTTCGAGTATACACTCACAATGTATACTAGCATTTTGTGTAATATATTGAACTATAATGTTACCTGTTACTCACCCTTTCAATTGATCCTCAAAACTAGATACTGATTCCTCATTTGAAAAAAATGAAATTAATAATCATCTTTTTAGTAAGCAAAGATGGATAGTGGCTAGCAGTCGAATCCAGGACGCGCGTTTCGGTACTGGGTTTGAGTCCCAGAGTGAACAACAACTCTGGGATAAAGATACATCCAGCTGACGTATTCCAAATAGTACGATGCAAGCATCCTGGATCCCACTGCTAACCACTATCCATCTTTGCTTAAAAAGCCTGTGACTTAAGGGTATATCGATACAATTCGAACAGGATGCACCTATGCCAACATGAGACTGATCAATTGCAATCCTATATAACAATAGGAATATACAAGTAAAACAACACAAAGTGAATTCATATTCTAAGTGTTATATATAAATAGACATCGGTATTTTGTAAGCAATGGGACTATCGGATGCACTGTCGGATTGAAACATTTAACATTCAATGAATAGAACTCAGTTCCTAGTTCTATTTTACGTAATTTGATTTGAATTATCGTACAAAAATGAGTAAGGAACTATTGAGTACATCTACTTGTGTTTAGAAAATAAGTTGCACACGCACACACATACAAATGTTCAATCTTATTCAATGTTCCAGCTTAAGTAAGCAGTTTAAAATGACGTGATTATGCAGATTCAGTTCATATTGCTTCATGTTGTTTTGATTTCAATCTAGTCGTGATCATCAATGGAACACAACAGAATAGTGATATTGAGTAACGACAGACTTGTTCACGTATAGTATTGATCTGTTTGAACACATAAACATTGATGCAAAGGGGGGGCACCAAATACATATGCTTCACACAATAACCATGAGGCCTATAGCATTTATTATTGATCTGTGTGAGCGTCGTGATACTGCCCGCGTTCCCAAACCGAAGCATGTGGTTTCGTTTAGAGGGCCACACCCCAAGCCTTTGACCTGCGGGTCTAATCCACAAGGCAGTGAAGCAACGTCAGGAGATGCAGTCCTATGCAAGCCAGTGACAAACAATAGGTTTATACACCATTTGCTTCCTTCAGGATGCTGGAGCCCATGTCCATCATTGATTTGGAATAAGGGTTTTCCGACTTCTCTAGGTGGATCCTCTATATCCACTGATTCGGTTAAAGCCCATACCGGACATTCGCTTTTCATAAACAACACTCCTGGTGCAAGAAGCCTGCTTTCTACTGAACGGATTCAACTATTTACATAAAAGTAAAGCATACAGTCGCTTAGACCAGTAGACACATTCCAGTGTGATTACTAGAACTCGATTAGCAACAAATATTAGATAGGTTTGTATTCGTTAAATCTCAGCTACAGAACAATAAAATCTTGTTGAGGTGTTTTGCCATCAATCGAAACTGTAACTAAGACCGGAAAGTACTGAATAACTGTTTCGTCCTAGCATGAAAGTTTTCATCAATTCGTGATTACAACCACATCAAGGGTTCAACCTTGGACCTTTTGTTCTCACGAAAAATACTCAGTCTCTTTACCATTGTGTTGATATTCAATACCTCAAATCTCTTCTATTAGAGATACAAAACAACGATCAACAAACAACGATGACCATCTTAATGCCAACATGGTTTAACAACCTCAACCACAACTTTTCATTAAAACTATGACAATGAGACATTTTAATGATCTGGTTAAGATGTTTCACTCGTTAATTTATAACTTTTTTTTCCATGCATTATCATAATAGGATTCAGTTGTCTCCGATGCACATGTCTATTGTGAGTTAATTGAATTGAAACCCAATAAAACTCACTATCCAACTAACAAGAAATTGGATTCTAGACCATTTTATAAAGATTATTCGTCTTGTAGTTTACGTTCATATGAAAATCAATGTTTTCAAGATGTTATCTCAGATAAATGTTCAAATGAACAACCGCCAAAATTACCACATCGAAATTATGGAGAAAGTACTTTGAATATGGTTGCTAATGTAAGTTTTAGAGAAATTTATCATTCTTTCTTCTTTGTTAATGAAACATATTTTGACTGCCAGCTCCTTGGATCTGATTAGTCTTGCAAATTAAACGCTATATTCGTTTCCTAAGCTATTCTGTAACCCCCCAAGCAAGAACTATACAGCGACCTGAACAACGAGAGAGAAGACGCAAAATATGAGAGAAGTACTTTACTCCAAGGATCATTTCAATGCAGAAAATATAGGGTTTTTTTATATTTTAAATGTCCTTCGGTTGCTCGAAGATTCTGGGATGCTAATTAACATAGTAGCTGTATAGCAATCAGCCAATCAGAACCTCTACATGTGACGTTTCACTTCCTTGATATTTCTGGTTAAAACTTCAAGTGAACGCTGATTGGAGGAAACGCTTCTTAGTGTTTCCTGATCCTTGCTTATCTTTTGCAAAAAATTTTCTGAATCACCCCAACAGGATCATCTTGATTAACTCTTATAAAGAATAATGAAACATTGTTTTTGGTTACCTAATGAGAGACCAGCTTAGCCTCTGGATAAATCCTTGTTAGTATTGTCCTTAGTTCGAAAGCTACATTTCCGTCCATTTCATAACCCTTGAAGCCAGGTTTTTCTCAGCCGTAGCATATTTCACTTCCTTTGTTACAGTTGATCTATGTTTAGTCATTAAATTTTGTGGATAACCGTTATCAAGTAATTAACGTTTGCCTATGGCGCAATCTCAGTACTATCCCAAACCAATGACACTCAACCGATATGACCAACATAGCGTCTTTATTAATCCTTTTTTTCTTGTAGCCCTTCCAGTTGAGTCCAGAATGCCAATACCAGCTTGCACTACGTAGATCATTTATTTCAAACTTTATTTCAAACAGACCAAATCATACTATAAAATAGGAAATAACATTTATACAAGATCAAGCCATAAGGTGGCTGTGAATGTGGGAGACTGTAATTAATAGATTGGACATAACTCAAGGACGCTAAATCGTATAATAATAATCTATAGGTTAAAATAAGATGCATATAGATATACACAATCAAGTTACTGAATAGTTATACAATAAGAATGTATTGCATCATATTAAGTCATTAATAGTTCTACGAAGTTACCCGCAATTTAATCTTCACTAGGATATAACAGTTACAGTATGCTCTGTTGAAAGTTCCAATATACAAGAAGTATGTCATTCATCATTGAATACAACAAATGTATCTCTTTTTTCAAACTTTTCTTTAAAAACAATCAAACAATTTTATTTCGATAATGTAATGAGAAGACGACGTTTATCAGAACTGACTGTCCCCATTCTCGGCCGCACTAGAGTATTTGGGAGCTAATACATCAATTTGTAATAATGATGATATTGTAGTGAACGAGAATATCAATGAGGAAAACCGAATGTAATTGAACACAAAATTACAGAACGCCTTAGTATAATCTAAGAACCATTCAGTAAACAGTTCATTTGCAAAATGTCAATCAGTCGTCTCAGACTTCATTCTTCTTTCGTTTTCACACCAATCATTCTTTGTTCTCGTTCTCTTCTCTTAGAGCTTCTTAACCTTCCACCATCAGGCATTTCACTTTCGATTAATAATACGTACTACTTATGTCTGTCGACATCAGTAGTACACACTACAAAATAATTGTCCAAAACTCCATTGTTTTTTTCTAAGTTATTTATTTATTTATTTAAACAGATAAACATAGGTGCAAGAAGGCACCAAATATATATGCGCCACATAAATCATTCGGTTTCTGTGAGGACTAGGATACTACCCGGGTGCTTAAACCAAAGCAGGTGATTTTTATAGGGAGCCACATCCCGAGCCTTCGACTTGAAGGTTCAATTCTTAAGGCAGTGAAGCAAATGTATTCCCATGCTAGCCGGTGACCAACAATATGTTCATACACTATTTGTTCACTCAGGATCGTGGAACCCATGTGGACTAATGGTTTGGAATCAGGGTTTTCCAACTTTCGTCGGTAAACTGTCCGTATCCACCAACCCGTTTAAAGTGCCGGACATTATCTTTTCATCCTTTCAATTTCATAAACAACACCCACGCCTCGAGAAGACAGTGATTAGGACTTCTCTGACAGTATATGTATGCCTGTGAACATATGAGAGCATTTTGAGAGAGAGAGAGAGAGAGTTGACTCTCCCCATCCTTAACTGTACCAGGGTATTCGGGGGGCTAATACATTAATTTGCAATAATAATGATAATCAATAATATATTTATTTCATTATAAATTTTATTTTTATTTTTACTTCTTTTTTTGTTTTTTTTTCTGTTTATGACAGTTACGTTTATGGGCAACAAGAAATAAACAAAAATTTTTAAAAAATTTACGTAAAATTAATAAATTACATAAACATGTTTATTCTATGTCAGATATGACATGGAGATTAAATAAGAAACGAAATATTTATGATTCACCTTTATATAAAACAAAAAATTATACAGAACACTCATCATTAAGAACATCATATCGGTGTAAGTTACTTTTTTTCTGCTTTTTCTCCTTTTTTTGTTTTCTTTATATGATCAGTTGAAGTATGGAACAACATTCTTTGAATTTTGATGATGTTTTGTTCTCTAAGCTGGGTGATTTGGTCGTGATAGAGGTCTACCTGAAGTTTGTGCTGATGATGAATGCTCCACAACTAAACCATCAAGCAAAGAGACCAAAACTCCATCAAAATCATCCACCAGACCTACAAATCTTCTCCATCATCTCAAAATCATATGAAAGTAGTGTGCTTTTACTTACTTACTTACTCCTGTTACTGCTCGTGAAGGGGCATAGGCCGCTCATCAGCATTCTCCATCCGCCTGTAGCTCTTCTAGAGTTACTGCCGGTCCCAAGCCCGGGTAAATGTGGAGGGTTGTGCATGGTGTTAGCCACCCTATCCCGTAGGAAACTAACTCGCTAAAAAAACGCTCACCAGTATGCTTTAAACTTGTTTAATATTTGTGATATACATTTTTGAATATAAAACTTTTATTCAGTATTTGCAGTTTTTATATCAAAGAATGAATTCAGGTAAATAACTTTTGAAAACTAAGAAATATTGAATAATTGTTTCATCTTAGTATGGAACCATTCAACAGTGGGCATCTATAATCCAATTAGTAATAAAATCTTGGGTCTATAGATATAAAAGGAGAAATAGCTGTTCAGTGCCAAAGTAGTAGATCAGTGATGTAAAGCTACGAATTCACCGATCTACAGAACTTCCTCTATACTTGTTAAATATGTTAAACTTCATTTAGATTATGCGAAGTCCTCATACGCTAACACTTCACACAATATATCATTCTATTGTGAAATAATCCAACTTGTAATCTAACGAATGATCTCCTAGTTTCAAAAGACGTTTAACCTGGTTGGCGTTTTTGTTAGCAAGATTTTTTTACGGGATGACGTTGCCGACCCCATGCCCAAACCTTGTCTTTTACCTGGGCTTGAAACCGGAAGTAACTCTAGAAGATCTACAGGCGGAGTTTTCAAAAGAGATACGATATATAAATGACATAACTGGACTCAAATTTCATGTAACAAGTTTTCTTAGTGTTACACAATAAAAAGTATTTTCACTGTTGTCATAAAATACATGACTTTCAAGCGACTATCGTATAGCATATTTGAAAACCTTAAAATCTAATTTATCATTTCTTCCTTGAGTCAATATCAGAAGTTAGCTGTCATTCTAAGATTAAAGAAAACCTAAATGAATGGTTATAAATAGTAAATTTGGTACATTTCCACGTGAAGAAGGCGCGGACTGGCAAAGCAAAAGCAACATATCTACAATTAAAGAACGTCTGGAACTCAAAACAACTGTCTGTCAACCAACACTAAAGTCAGAATTATCAGTACAAACGTCAACACAGTTTTATTGAGTCGGGCGGAAACTTAGAGAACTACGAAAGCAATCTTCCAGAAGACACAAATGTTAAATAACAGTTGTCTACGCAAAATACTTCGGATCCGTTGACCAGATATTATCAGCAACAACCTACTGTCGGAGAGAACAAACCAGATCCCAGTGGAGGAATAAATCAAGAAGAAGCGCTGGAAGTGGGTAGGACACACATTGAAGACAGCACCCAACTGCCTCACAAGGCAAACCCTCATCACATGGAATCCTCAAGGCCAAAGGAAAAGAGGAAGACCAAAAAACACATTACGCCGGGAAATGGAGATCGACATGAGAAAAATGAAAAAGAATTGGATGGAACTGGAAAGGAACGCCCAGGACAGAATGAGTTGGAGAATGGTGGTCGGCAGCCTATGCTCCATTGGGGGTAACAGGAGTAAGCAAGAAAATTTCCATGACTAAATCTAGCTGTGCCTTTATTTAAATGCTTTAGGTCAGTTTTCAGTAAGATCATCATTTTATGGGTGATATTGTGATGACGAAGAATATTTATAGCTCAAGATGCAGATGTTTCAGTTGTTGAGATCTCTTAGGTGAATAAATTAACCGTGAAGCCTTCATCGTCTTTCTAAATAATACTGTCAGAGCGTGCTTAAAAGAGAAGTTATGTATTGAATTTTACGACGGTGGAGAAGATTTGTAGGTCAGGTGGATGATTTTGACGGAGTTTTGTTCTCTAAGCTAGATGGTTTGGTCGTGGAGCATTCATCGTTCTTCTGAATGGCATCATCAGCACAAACTTCAGGTTGAACTGAAGTAGTTGAATTTGATCTATTAAAACTTCTCTACAACTGATGAAGCTCTTGTTCTGTTAGCCTGAAATTTGGTTCGTTTTTACCAATAACTACTTGGTCCTTGTTTGCATGTTTGATATGGTTGTTTTCTCTTCCGACCAAAACCCTGACAATACAGTTGTTATTCCTTTTTCCTGTTAGTTGTTTAATTAGTTTTGATGTATCTGTTGGTTAGTATTAGGTAAGAGTACAAAGCTCAGAAAAATCCTCTGGCTTTCCTTGAGTTCTCTCTGTCCAATATTTCGACGTTTTCTGAGTAGACTTCAGGTCTACATTTGTCCACATGAATTGATATAAGTAAATCTTTGCAATGATGTTTAACAGCCAACTGATGTTCACTTAGACGTAGATAGAAAGGGCGCCTGTTAGATTCACAGTTGCCACTACTTATCTTACGGATTATGTTCAAATTATTTTCGTTTATCATTGTATCTTTTAGTTTGTATCGTTCACAACTATTCCTAGTGGCTATAATAATCTGCTTGTGATCTCAGGGATGTTATTCCTCTATGGGATGAAGCTATCCATTTGGTAGTTTGATAAACATTTCTTAATCAAATTTTATGGGCAGTCAAAATACGTCCATCAGCGATTTTATTTCATTTAACCCTGTAATAACGGTGTTGTAATATATCTTTGCTCTTTTTTAAAAATAGCGTTTGGGTACAGTTTACTTTGTGAGCTACGGAGTTGTCACCATTGTATCTGAGTATATGATTGGTATGTGTTCATAGCAGATTTCGTTGAGTTACAAGTTTTTCCCCTTGGTTCTGATGGTCATCATCCCCAAAAATGTTAGTTTGTTGTCTGATTATCCTTTGAATATGTATATTTTGTCTTTGAAGATGTTGTTCATTAAATTGTAAGCTACATATCTACCATCGTCAAAAGAATCAGCTGGGAAGCATTTACAATTACTTATTATCACAGTTTTGGTATACTATCATCCTGAAGTGTAGCCTCGCTAGTACTATAGTGAACGAGAACACGAATGGGGACAATGAAATGCATTTGAATTCAACATTGAAGAATATCCTAGTAAAATCTGAGAACCATTCTGTGAATACTTCCGTTACAAAATATCAATCAATTATCTCAAACTTGACTGTTCCTTTGGTAAATACCAGTCAATCATCTCAGACTTCTTTATTCTTGTATTTTCATACCAATTACTTTCTGTTTCCGTTCTTTCTTTCTTTCTCGACCTTCTGCTATCAGACATTCTAATCCTGAATGTTGTTACATACTACTGATGTTTATATCAGTAGTACATATCACAGTATGTTGTTAGTTATTCAGAATTTATGTGACTCACCATTAAAAAGCAACTATGAATCATGACAAAAAAAGCTTACTAACTTTGGTTTGTATAACTCTAATGATCAAGACATATGTTCAATTCATTATTGCATAGAGGTTTTGTAATTTACAATCAACTACTTTTTGTCATAAAGTCATCATACTTTCATGTAGTACGTAAAATGAATGAATGAATCACTGACTACATTTCCTTGACCACTTTTAAATAGCAAATTTATGTCAATTAATCATGTTTACTATATTACAATTGAATTTCCTATAAGCTTAATACATAGGTAATGATGTTTATATTCAATTGACTTGATGACATGGTATTTATGACTGAATGTCATTAAAAACACCATAATGATTATTGAAACTCAGCATGATAATTGTCTATTTTCTTAATGACTATCAAAAACATTGATGACATGAAACTGAAAGTACTGATTTGATTCAAAAAGTAGTAGTAGTAGTAGTAGTAGTAGTAGTAGTAGTAGTAGTAGTAGTAGTAGTAGTAGTAGTAGTAGTAGTAGTAGTAGTAGTAGTAGTAGTAGTAGTAGTAGTAGTAGTAGTAGTAGTAGTAGTAGTAGTAGTAGTAGTAGTTTTGTAAGTATCCATTCAACTTAATTTGAACGAATCGCAAAAGTTTTTCAAAATTTTATAAAAAAACGAAAATGAACTGTGACTTTCATGGTTTTGTAGTTGAATACAATACTGATAGATTAGACTTAAATTTACTAATCAATTGAAGCTAGACCACCATAGAAAACCTGGTAGCACTGAATGGCCGTTTTGTCCCACTGTGCGACCCCTCAGCAATGTGCATCCACGACCCCTCCTCGCGTGATTCGAACCCAGGGCCTATCAGTCTCGCGCGCGAGCGCTTAACCTTTAGACCACTGAGCCGGCATCCGATAGTGTTATTGTCTAACTTCAACTAATTCACGAAGTTGAGCGACACGTCAACTTACTCAAAAAAATAGAGTATTATTTTACGAAATCATCTTACTTACGTCTGTCACGTGTCGTCGAGGTGCAAAGGCCGCTCAACAACATTCCCCTTCGAACTCTGTCGTGGACAGTCCTTTCTAGTTCTTTCCAGTCGCTGTTCATTATTTTCATGTTTGCCTCTGATTTCCAATGAAATGTGTTCTTTCGTCTTCCTCTTTTCCGTTGACTTTCAGGATTCCAATTTAGTACTTGCCTTGTGATGCAGTTTGGCGATTTCCTCAATTTATGTCCTATCCACTTCCAACGTCTACTACTTCATTTAGAAGCTGATTTACTTTCTCCCACAGCAGGTTGTTGTTAATGGTATCCGGTCGACGGACACTGAGAATCTTACGTAGACAATTGTTTAGAATTACTTGTACCTATTTGATGGTGTTTGTAGTTGTCCTCCATGTTTTTGCTCCGTACTATAGAACTAACTGTTTCGAGGTTTGTAATGAAAATTCAGACTTTGCCGTTGTTTGACAGTTATTTTTAGTTCTATAAGTTCTTCAAGTTTAGCTCAGGTGGATGATTTTGATGAAATTTTGGTTGTGAGCTTGATGGTTCGGTTGTGGAGTTTTTATCGTTCTTCTGAATGACATCATCAGCACAAACTTCAGGTAGAAGTGAAGTGTTCGAATTTCTCTGATATGGTTCATAGCTTGTCCTGTAGGTCTCGATGTTGATTGGTTCTTGCTGACAGTGACAGGTTTAAGGTCAACTCCATCACCTAATCAACAAATCTTCTCCTTCATCTCATTAACGTAGATCACTTGAGATGAATATCGAATTTCTATATTAGAATTCATTGAATTACATCACACTAAATATAAAAAACCACAGTCTTAGTGATATACTACAAACTATTTAGTTATTGTCATTAATATTCCATGGAATTCGTTCATCCATAGTAACCGAGTAAAACAAAACACTAATCCATGCCTTATATTATTTACTATCCATTATTCTTATTATAGATCATAAACACAATAATTTGGGGAGTAGAAATTCTGTAGAAAAACCTAAAGATTACGATGAATTAACTAACCGAAATACAAGATCAATTTTTTCTGAAACTGATATCGTTTCACTGGAGAATCTTAAGTATGTATTATATATTACTGATTATTGTACTACAATAAAGTATTTGATTTTTTTTTACAAGACCCTTGATCTCTAAGTCTTGTGACATAATTGATATTATGAGCATTTTTGCATATAGTGCTTGTTATCTAAGGCTAGATCGAGGTAATCTGCACAAGATGCACATAACCAACAAGAGATTGATCAGTTACAGTCCTAAACAACTACATCAAGTGAATTTAACTTCACGCAGGTGGATATCAGGACTCAGTGTGTGAGTGGATAACACAATGGCGTTTGAAGCCAACTGTACTGGGTTCGAGTCACAGAGTAAACATCAAATCTGACATACAGGCACATCCAGCTCACGAGTCACAAACAAGACGAAACGCGTGTCCTGGACTCCTCTGTTAGCCACCATCCATCCATCCATCGTTGCTTACAAAACTTGTGATTTAAAGCAATATCGAAGCAATCTACACAAGCATGCACATATACTAATAAGTGACTGATCATTTCAATCCTAAACAACAATGAGAAGATTCAAACAATAAATTGTCCAACCAAATTAATCACAATATAATTTAGTATAAATCAAAATGTATCATAGAAAATCTTTTATCATATTGATCAATAGAAAAAAGATATTCACGCATATGATTTAAGCGATTCCCACTTATATCCCCATATAGAAACATAGAAACCATTAGTGATACATTGAAATGATAAAATCAAATTATCATTGTCCTTCAATGAATCCACTCTGTTTCTTTACTTCATCACAAATACTACAGTTGGATACTTGTCTTTGATAGAAGGTAAATATTGAAGATAATTCACATGGACTATTATGATTATTACTATTATTATAACCTATAAGCATTCTATGCAGTTCTTCAATGGAACATCAAATGTTGATGTTGATAATGAACATACAATTTGTATCATTTCAACTACAAACTATTTCGTTTCCCTTATGATTATTATTCTATATGAGAAAGAGCATGTATTGTACCGTGAGAGTGTACTATTCCCACAGTTATAAAATATAACTAATAACAGGAAAGAATATTCTAATATCTTCCCTTCAAATTCAATGAGAATTAGATGAAGATATAAATCAAAGATAATTAATGTGAATAAATCAATTCACTATTCAATCTTTCGATTGCTATTAGGAGTGGAATCTGGAATAATCATTATTAGCTTTATTCAGTATTATATTCTTGGTATAAGAGAGAATTCTTAGTACAATGTATTTCAACATGTTACCATTTCTTGCTTCTTTGTCGATCCTGACGATAACATATTGAGTGATGGTCAGTTAGGAGTTAACAGTTCAGGAATCGACATCTGAATTGTGTTCACCACTTTCAATGGATATCGCTAGCAAACATAATGTCTCTGATTAGGCTCTTTTTTAACTTGTACAATGAAAGGTCGTAAACTTTCCATAAACGTACCTGAATAGGTTATGCGATTAATAAACGTAATGAAGTGTTAAAGCAAACCAAAAATAGATAACTTGTTGAAATCTCTAGATAACAAGAATAGGTAGCCCAGGTATTTAAGCAGGCCAAAACGAGTCTATTATATTTATACCATTGGACAATAACATAACTTTCCACATTTCTAACTTTGATCCATTTCTACTTTGATCACTTGATCATTCAGTATAATCTGTAATAACATTTTACCGCTAGACATGGTTGAACTCCACTAGCCATGAATTTTCATCGTAAATGAGTGCACAATTAGTTTCCAATTGAGTCGATCAAAACAGTTAACTAAACATAAAAGTAGTGCAAAAGTGGTCGGTTTATGGATTCTCATCAAATAAAATCATTGATTAATTTTAAAGTAGATTGTTAATTCCTGTTGAAACCCGTAAGTTAAGAGTACTCAAAATTTTGTGTGTCTTAAGTCCTTAGCTCTGATCGAATTCTAGTTATCAAGTTTCTCTCCATGTTGTTCAACATTGAGATGCACTTTACTTTATATTGAATGGTCATATGTAACAACAAGACATGCAGTTAACAGACATAATTTCAATAGTTGAGATCATGTTTCAATTGAAGCTAGACCACCATGGAAAACCTGGAAACACTGCACGGCCGTTTCGTCTTACTGTGGGATTTCTCAGCAGTGCTCATCCATGATCCCACACCAAAGAGACGTGAACACATGCATGAACGCTTAACCTATGGACCACTGAGTTGGTTAATGTCTAACTTCAACCACTCCATGATATTGTGCGACCATTCACCATTGTTTTCAGTCAACAATTGCTTCACAGCTTACACTGTTGAACTCCACTGGTCACTCCTTCTCACTGGAACTTCAGGAAATCCATCTTAAAGCCATTTACTGGTACGCTTTGCTAAGGAGTCTCATACTAGGACAAAACAGTTGTCTGACGTTTCGATTGTTTTCAATAGTGGTCTAACATTGATTCATTCATGATACCAATTAAATTAAACATTTGTTCACGTCACTATAAATAGTAATATTATACAACATATAATTGAATGCTATTAATTGTCATAAATTTATGTACAATCATTATTTTTACTTACAAAGTCGTTAAAAATGACCTATAATACCTGTGCATATGGATCGATGTTAAGAAGGTTAATTGGTCGGTAGACAAGAACGGTTACATATGCATCCTGGATGACTTCTGTGACCTTCGGAGATTCATCAACAGAATTCTGGTCCACAAGTGGTTAGGGATTTCTTTGCGTTGTTGTGAGGACTGGCGATTTAGAATTCAAACCTTCAGTTTCTTTCAGTAATTGAGTTAGGGTCTTTAGCTGCTTTTCATCCTTCTTCGTCGGTATCTATTTTAAGATTTTTTTTTAGGGTTGTTTACTCTTCATCGAAGAATAAATTTTCCAAACTGCATTCGTTCTCAATATATTTTTTCATTTCATTATTTTTTTATGCAAAATAAGTTCACTTAATATTTGGGGTTCACAACAACGGAAGGATCCGATAATTTCAGGTATGTTTTATTGAAAATAATTTAATCTTCATTAGGGTTAATGTTTAAGTGTTTTATGGATTTAAAGCTCACTTTCATTTGTTCATTTAACTATCTGAGTCACCAGACAAAAAAACGTTTGTGGAGATTAATAACTTTAATTATTACTTACTTACTCCTCGTAGAGGAGCATAGGAAGCCTACCAGTATTCCCTACCCAACCATGTTCTGGGCAATATCTTCAAGTTCTTCCCACCTGCTATTCATCCTTTTCATCTCTGCTACCAATTCCTGACGTAGTGTATTCTTCGGTCTTCCACATCTTTTTTTCCCTCAGGTTCTAAGTTAGGGATTGCCTCGTTATGCAGTTTGATGGTTTCCGTAATATATGTCCTACCAATTTCCATCGTTTTTACCTAATTTCCTCTCCAGCTGGAAGTTGGTTTGTTCTCTCCAACAGTAGTCTGTTGCTGATGGTACCCAGCTAATGGATGTTGAGTATCTTGTGTAGACATCTATTTATAAATACTTGTACCTTCTTGATGGTGGTTGTTGTATTTCTCCAAGTTTCAGCTCCTATAGTAGAACTGTTATGACGTTCGTATTTAAGATTGCGACTTGATATTGGTTGACAGTTGTTTTGAGTTCTATATGTTTTTAAATTGTACAAAATGTGGCTTTTCACTTTAATTATGAATATCACTAATTGAATCTAATTAGAATAGTTCTGGAAAACAGAAAACACAATAGGGTTATTTTCTCTTATTGTCAAGTCCTAGTCAACTCTACCATTAAATCCACTCAGGTCGTAAAATATCGAATCTGGGACAAATATGATCGATTCCAATGATTTGTGTTTAGCTAATACCAATTAAATCGGATAGAAATTAAAGATATAAAGCATTGGTGGCTAACTCAATTGTTTAACTTTAGGTTTTATTAATGACATTCGATTTCAAATAATGCAGTTATTAAGATACTTAAAGTTGAGTGTAGTGTCGTTTACTATGTTAAGTCAATATAACGTATTCTAGTTTCTGAACAGACAAACGATCAGTGAAACGAAGCGAAGAAAGAGAAGTGAAATGGCATGCAGTGGAGAAAGTTGTGTGGACCGACTCGATTTAGTCAACCGTTAATGAACGTTTACGGTCACACAAAAATAAGCTACAGGCATGTGCCAAGTAGGATAAGCAGTGTACACACACATTCGCTGATATAAAAATAGTCAGTATTGATAAGTGAATAATTAACAAGGTCTAAAACATGACTCAAGAAGAATGGATAAACTGGAGAAGCAGCATTGCAATGGTTCAGTACAGACTTCCTTCGACACTGACAAACTCAACAAATTCAAGATAAATCTCAGCAACAGGTTCCAAGCCTTACATGATCTATTCAAAGAAGAAGAATAAACTATTATGGAGAACAACTGGAAAGGAATCAAAGAAGCACCAACTTCAATGTGTTAGGATGTGATGAGCCTCAAGAAGGATCATCATAAGGAATGGATCTCTATGGAAATCCTGCAAAAGATTTGAAAAAGGAAGAACAAGAAGATAGCAACTAACAACAGACGAAAAATAGCAGAGAAAGTCATGGCATAAGCAAGTGGAGAGAAGCATTTGAGCCGTCAAGAATAAATACAAGGATGGCCTAGCAACGACAGCTGAAAAAAGTGAGAGAGAAAGAAATATGAAACAACTACATGTTATATGGGCTTAACATAGCAATCGACACTACAAGCGCATATTTATAATCATATAAAAGGTTTAACGAAATACATTTACATTCATCAAATTAACGGAACCAATCAACATTTCATTTTCAAATTAGAAAAATGAATATGGAAAGTTGTGACCTCAGATAAGTAACCTTCATGATAATTTCAAATAAACTTAATATTGAATGGATAGATTGTTTGTAATGATAATGTAGTGAACGAGAACACAAATGAGGAAAATCGAATGTATTTGAACATAAAATTACGGAATCTCCTAATGAAATCTGAGAACCACACAGTAAATAAATGCAGGCGATGCGTATCGGGTAGAGACAGGTATCTACCTCAGTACAATGGAAGGTGGACGCGCAACTCGTGGATTGGTTGAGGTTAGACATTAACATCGTTGGATGCCGGCCTGCTCAGTGAGTTAGGGGTTAAGCGTTGTCGTGCAAGACAGATAGGTCCTAGGTCTGAATCCTGCCAGCGAGGTCGTGGATGTGAAATGTTGAGGAGTCCCACAACGGCCATCTAGTGCTTCCAGGTTTTCCATAGTGGTCTAACATCAACTGTTCCTTGATGTCAATCTAAAACTTAATACTCTTCAAAACCCCATACTGACAGTAAATACTTCATTTGCAAAATGTCAATCAATCGTCTCAGACTTCATTGTTGTCATTCTCTTTCTTCGGTCTTCTTAACCTTCTGCCACCAGACATTTCACTTTCGATTGATGATACATACTACTTATATCTGTAGACATCAGTAGCACACACTACAATAGTAAAAAATATAGAAATTTAATCTTTGATATTTTATATATTTGATATAAATTTTCACTATTCTTATTTTTACAATTATCATTAGCTTGCCATTCTAATGAAGCTTTTTCTTTGGAAGCAAATATACAATTAACAAAACAGTCGACCAACTTCAATGATAGATGCAGTAATCTTAGACATATCGATAGTGAATGTAAGCCATCAAACATTATTAAAAGTTTTATGTTATAGTATATTATTGTCATGAATTATATGGTATTTTCGGATGAAGATTCGTTCTCTGAAATGAGACCAAAACTCTATCAAAATCAACCTCCTGAGCTACAAATCTTCTCCATCATCTCATTATATGGTACTACGACTAAACAATGAAGTATCTCTAGAAAAATACTAGAGTATGTTACGGGAATTTGTTCATACAGATGTGACATACTAAACTCCGTTGATAAACCTAGAATGCAGACCATCTTGAAACTTTAAACTTAATTAAGTTCTCTACTTGATTATAGCTAATATGATATATAACTTCAGTAATCGAACTCGTAAAGCCCACAGTCACAAATTAAAAAAGAAAAGAAGCATATGTTGAGTAACTGTCGAAAGAGTAGAGAAATAACAGGTACATTTATAGTTTTTGGTCTAGGCTATAACATCAATATAATCCAGTCGATCGACAAGAAACTATCCAATCATAGCATGAAATGTTTATATTATATGAAGTACTATTGAGTTCTGATTGAATGGACTTTCTTCAACTCCTTTAGAATTTTTACAAGCTTCGTCGCATTTTCTAGGACTCGTTTCAACAAACAAAACTTGTATCAATAATCATTGTTCAATTGGTTGAAATCCGGAATTCGAAACCTTTCGTCAGGTGGTTTCAATGTTTTCGACTTTAACGTTGGTCTCGAACCTACAAACAGGATTGTTATCTACGCTAAACTCGAAATACTCATAGCGGTGAGACTATAATTTTTTATATCACGAACTAACATCCACTAAATCGTCAAAACGTTATTTATCCAAATGGATGGATGAATTGTGTGCCAAAAACCCAGACCTGTTATCTTAGATTTGATTGGTTCATCCATTTAATTATAGTCTTGTCCCTTCAAAGTATATGATCTTAAATGAAGATTTCTTTGTTTTTATAACTTCTCTAGTTGATATTACAGAATTATCCCCCATTTATAGAAGAAACAAATCTCCAAGAAGTAAACAATTAAAAATGAATCATTCATTATATCCATATTTGACATCCACATCATTCACACCATTATATCATATTTACATTCCAAATCAACGTAGACAATCTAAAGAGAATTTCCATTCATATACAAGTGATGTTCGTTCGCAATGTAATAAAGTGAATGATCAAAATAATACAATTCATTCTTATCTATCTAATCTAATGTTATCTGAAGAAATTCCCTGTTGCACTTCTTCTCCTCCTCCTCCCACTCCTTATTTATGTATGCCACCATTAATGGAACGTTCTATGGAAGATGATGAATATCATTTATGCAAATGATTGTAAAACATTCAAATTACGGTTTTTTGTATATTTCTTTTTCGATACAATATGTATCACCATTTACAATTCAGGTTATTTATAAATTGTATATAGATTACTTATTTACTTACTTACGCCTATGCTACTCCCGATGGAGCATAGGACGCCAACCAGGATTCTCCAACCCATTCTGTCCTGAGCCTTCCTTCATAGTTCTATTTAATTTTTTTCAAATTGTATATAGATAATACACAATAATTATCGAACTGCTTATTTAACTACATAAACTTTGGTACAAAGAGGTATTGAATATATATATTCGGCAAAGAAATCATTCGATTTGTGTGAGGCTTGCGATACTGACCGAGCAGTTAGCAACGCAAAGTGTTCAGAGGTTAACTACTGACATTTTCTGAATATAAAGTTACATTTTAGGACTTCTGATTTTGAAGACCTCTAGGATTTAAGTTCCTTAGTGCTATTCATGAAATGAATCCCTTAACATCTATACTTGCTGAGTAGTGTTGGGGGTGATTGGAAGAAAGTTAGGGGCGGCCAAACCAAAACGTGGCATCAGTCCTTGAAGTCACTAATTTCTGGTCTGAGCCATGTTGGTAGATACAGCCTATCGTAACCAATGGTTAGGGACTCTGCGTGACATGGCTCAGAATTGATCACAATGGCCTCAGTGTAAACACTGTCTTCTCTTAAGCTATGAGATTAAAATCGCTCCATAACTAATTCCTTCTTCCTGTACTATATCCTTATACAAAATCTTTTGTATACTACCACCATTGAATTAAATAATTCTATGGATTTGTTGTTCATTTCATTGTGTTAATGAGTTAATGGCAACTTGGATCGATGCATATATGTGCCTGATCCTATGTTGTCGCTGACTGACTGACTGACTGATATTCATACTTTACATCAGTAAATAAATTCAGCCAAGCTACTATTAAAAACCGTGGAATACTGAATAAACGTTTCCTCTTAGTATGGAACTATTCAACACTGTACATTTTCTACCTATTCTAAAACTGAATTGAAATTTGTTTAAATGAAACTACAATACACTTTTGCTATTCTCTGAATTCCCGTTCATTCCTTAAGGTGGATTAATATAAAGAGTGAATTTGCAACTATATATAGGCAAGTAAGCAATGTGAGTTTCAAATTGGAGTCACTTGTGAGTTCTCCATCAATCCATGATCACCTTAATTAAGAAAACCTCCGCCTGTAGCTCTTCTAGATTTACTGTCGGTCCCAAGCCCGGGTAAAGGAGGAGAGTTGGGCATGGGGTTAGCGTCCCCATCCCGTAGAAAAGTAAATCGCTAAAAAAACGCTTACCAGAAAAAATAATTCAAACCATTTTAACTCTGCCCTGAGAGTTAGAAGGTCTTCATTTAGAAGAATTATGACGCTTCATGGTGAAAGCCGAGTTCTTTAGGAAACCACGAGGCCGATGCCCTTTCTAACAACCAGAGCAACAATTTTTATAAGTACATGGAACGTCCGAACAATGTGATAGATCGGGAAGACCAGTCAAATACAACTTGGCAGTACCGGGAATCAGCGAAACCCACTGGACCCAAGCTGGACAGAGAAGGCTAGCTACGGGAGAGGTGCTGCTATATTCCGGTCACGAAGAGGAAAATGCTCCACACACTCAGGGGGTCGCTCTAATGCTGTCCAAAGTAGCACGAAACGCACTTGTAGGATGGGAATCTCACAGATCCAGAATCATCAATGCATCATTCAAAACAAAGAAGGAGGGGATCTTAATGAATATTATCCAATGTTATGCACCCACCAATGATAGCAACGACGACATTAAAGATCAATTCTACGAGCGGCTGCAGTCAATCATAGAGAAATGCCCAAGAAAGGACCTCATCATTTTAATGAGAGATCTAAGTGCCAGAGTCGGAATCGACAACACCGGATATGAAGATATTATGGGACGACATGGACTTGGAGAGAGAATGAAAATGGAGAAAGATTTGCAAATCTGTGTGCATTCAACAAATTGGTCATAGGGGGCACAATATTTCCACACAAACGTATAAACAAAGCTACATGGATTTCACCGGACCACACTACAGAGAACCAGATAGATCATATTTGCATCAACAAGAAATTCCGAAGGACAATGGAAACTGTGAGAACTAGAAGAGGTGCTGACATTGCTTCAGATCACCACCTAGTTGTAGCCAATTTAAAACTGAAGCTAAAAAAGAACTAGACAAGTGGACAAACAGCACCACAAAGGTTCAATACAGCCTTCCTTCGAGATATTGACAAACTCAATGAATTCAAGATAGCTCTCAACAACAGGTTCCAAGCCTTACAAGATCTACTGAAAGAAGAAGAAACTACTATGGAGGACAACTGGAAAGGCATCAAGGAAGCATTAACTTCAACGTGTCAAGAGGTTCTCGGTCCAAAGAAATACCATCATAAGGAATGGATCTCTACAGGAACACTGGACAAGATCAAAGAAAGGAAGAACAAGAAGGCAGCAGTAAACAACAGCCGAACACGAGCAGAGAAAGTCCAAGCACAAGCTGAATACATAGAAGCAAATTAACAAGTGAAGAGGAGCATTAGAGCCGACAAGAAGAAATACGTGGAAGAACTAGCAACGATGGCTGAAAAGGCTGCTAGAGAAGGAAATATGAAACAGCTTTACGATACAACGAAGAAACTATCAGGGAAATACAGTAAACCAGAGAGGCCGGTCAAAGACAAAGAAGGCAAGCCAATCACCGAAATTCAACAACAGCGTAACAGATGGGTTGAATACTTCGAGGAACTACGCGAACTTTGGTACTTCTATAATGTCCATGAAAATATATTCATCTTAATAAAGAAGCACCAGAAATTATCTTAACCCAACTTATTTAGATTCGATCCACATTTATTAGCTGAACAATTCAAGGAATCCGAACAGTTAATCTGCGCACATACGAGGTTTATGAATGCTCATATAATCTCAGATAGAATCATCAATCAAAAGCTTACGTAAAAGCCTACCTTTAACGAAAATAATCATGTAGAAATCACAACGTATCTTGTTAACCTAGCAAAAAGACACTGATGAGAATAGCATATCGCCTGTCAGCCAATTGTCTGGTTTATCAGTGAAGAACACCAACTTACCACTTAAGCATGTAGCTGCCTCAGATAACCAGTGTATACCTGATGTAGACATAGATGTGATATCTCACAATGAAACATTAGAGACGCAAACCCAAATGCCTAGTTCTGACGTAAAAGCTCTTCGAAACACTGCTAAAAATTAAAGTCTAAACCATATGAGAAGAAAGTATATACAGAAGTGCCTAGTTCCAAAACTAGTACCACAAATAATACAAAGCCTCAACCATACAAAGATATACTCCTCGACACCATGTTTAACCCTACCAATCGTGGGGGGTGGTTATATAAGCACACAGACAAGAACTAGTTGACCCACCATTTACTCATCCCAGATCAACCTACGAACATTAAGTGACTTGTCACAGCCCTATTTTCTAAATCAAACAAATATACTTTGCGCGAATGACTCACAGGATGGATACCCCAACCTTCGTGTAAGCAGGTCTAATATTAGGCGAACTGGAGGGAACCAACGTGTCCCATGGTTGCCTCCAAAAGTTTTACATACTGAATCTGTAACATATAACTTCTTATCATTTTCCCGATAGGCAAGATGGATTACTAGGTTAGGCACCATTAACTCAACTCCAACAAGCAGGTGACTCTCCTAACCGTCCATCAAGTCGATTTTAACAAATAAGTCCACCTCATCAAAACACTGATTGTCTTAGTCTTCAGAAATTCCTAATCTCTCTAACACCATAGTTTTTTCGAACCATAACTTATGCGATCAGTCGCTCATACTAAACCATAGTCCAGTCATCTCTAAAATATATAGTATCGATAGGAAAGCTCTCAACTCTTTTACGATCCATATTTCCCTCTTAAATTTATTGTTTGTCAATGCACGTTCAACTCTAAATAAAATTTCAGCCTTAAGGACCTTAGCTTAACTAGCTAAATCTTTTCTCATACTTATCACTAAAAAATGGTGCTCTCCCGAAGTGTCTGATTTATAATTAATCAACCGGAACTACCGACACTATCTCTGGAACGGAGGAATTAAACGTCGGGGTGGTTGTCTTATATATGCGTTGAATTCTCTAACAAACAATTAAGTTGTCTTGAGTAGCTTGCCTGAATCTATGTGGATATCAGTCAACATCCTGGATAATAGACTACTCCTGAGATGTACATACAGATCCGCTAATAATTTGGATCATGCATTCGTACACACATCTACCCTTAAATTGAATGCTAAGGTTACTATAGGAGATTTCAATTACTCTAGAATAAACTGGAATACCGGTAGTTGTCAGTCATGTAATGATAAATTCTCAGCGACAATTAACATGAACTACCAGTCACACTGGGTTCGCAACACAACAAGATATTGCAGAGGAGATTCAGACTAAATCTAATCGATTTCTTCAAAATACCTAATAAACTATTCTTTACGTCCAGAAAAATAATTCAATATGCAGAAACTTCTAGTTACAGTATCCTTAACTCTTTGTCATTACTGAAACAATCACATTCTAAATCATCTCTCTACATGAATTCATTTAACAGTAAATTTTACAGACTCTGGAATAATCTACCACAATCTATCCGTCAGATAAGATTATTCTCATCCATTTCGTTCGCTGAATCAACACTTACTTCTCTTCCGAAAATAGACATTGAATGTTATTACATCTGTAAGTTCATCTTATTCCATTCGTGAGGTTGTAGGAACTTGAAATATTCAGTCATTTTTATTACTGAATTCATTAAGTAAACCTACCTACCTGCTGTCATTTTACACTTACACCATCCCTAGCAGCCTTAATTAGTTTGATTAGTATATTGTAAAATAACCTGACATATGTATGATAGTAAACCTGACTAACCCATCGTAGTGATGATTGTCCTTT